TGGGTGTGGAAAGGACAAAGGTGTGTATCGCCTGACATAAACTGGTGTTTTTACTGTCTGCTAAACATGTAAAAATTCGAGCTCTGATGTGACACGTGAAAGTCTCTGTCTGCTTAGGGGATTTGGTGTTGTTTGAGCTTCAGTACCGTTTTTAAGCTTGTTTGGTAGTCCATTGTTTCTGAATCGGTCTTCCCCTTTCTTCACGCTGAGGGCACTGTAATTGGCTTTTGTTCCTCAGCTGTTGTCTTGAGCCCTAATCCCCTTTCTTTATGTAATCAAACCTGAACAGATTTCCTGTCGGGAGGTGGACATCTAAGCGTTGCGTAGTAATCCACTTTGGTTTCTCGTGAGTTCTCGCTGGGTCACAGTCAGGTTTGGAAAGTGGTTAAAGTTGTTATCTGGTCTGATCGGTCTCATGTATTGCCCTAAATCTCAATATTCAAGCAGAACCAATGATGAGCTGCACAAGAGATCTCTGAAAATGCAAACTCGTCAGAAAACATTGTTGATCAAATTTAAATGACTTTGAAGCAGTCCTTGTGGCTTCTTTTTGTGATGGAGGTCTTTCCATGCCTTTTTTCCCCCCTGGCTTCTTGGAGGTCTAAATGTTTCCTAGACCATCTCTTCCTTCCCAGTCTCCACCCCTTTCTCTTTTCTTGCTGAACAAGGAAAAAAGGGAAATGCGGTTCACCCTTCATTGTAAGATCCTGTGATGGGACCTTGTGATTTCATCTCTTTTATCTTGACTTTTTACATGTAAATTGGCTTATTGCATTAAATCTAATGTAGGTTTTTGCAGTCTGTCATGGTTTAAAGGTGGTGTCAACTGTGATTTACTCCGCTATGCTCTATCTGCATTGTTGGTTTACATCTGAATAGCTACATTAATTCTCTGCTCAATCTAAACTAAAATTCAGTGGAAATGTGGACATAATAATTTTACTCCACCGGCTGTCACTTTCCCCTATTCAGGGGGAGGAGCAAATCCCTAACATGTTTTTATAATCTGAGTGAGTCATGTTCTCTGTGGATTTTTTTTTTTTTAAATTACTGTGAAAGGCCTACAGATAACATTGAGGGGTAATAATTTTGTGGATTTTTAAAGATCGCCTGGGTGTAGATTATGTGTTCTCCAGTAAAAATAACCGTTCTGTATATTGAGTTAAATTCTTATGTTCAGGCTTCACTGGATGATGTGGTATGACTTGACACTAGTTGCTTTGGGATATTAGAAAAAACAAAACCCACCAAACCCTATGAAACAGTTCAGCAGCATGAAATGGTATGTAGGAAAACCACTCTAAATTTCCATTTCAACTTATTTAGTTATACAAGATGTTGATCATCTTATTAGTATTTCACATTGATCATTTTGTTAGTATTTCACAGGCTTATCAGACTTTTCTGTTACATGGGAATCAGGGCTTTTTTATCCACAACCACCTGCTATTCATGTTCCAGGAAACCTGTTCCTTCTGTGGACGAGATTATCCTGTGTTCAGACTGATCTATTCTAGAAAAATCAAGTCTACTGGCCTTCTTCATCCAAAGCCAACCCTCCCATCTGGCAGGCAGAAAATGCTTTGAGGAGTCCTTCTCAGTCAGTCTTGCAATAGTTGCAATTTGTGGAACAAAATAGCAAATGGTTATAATTAGTGGTATTTGAGGTGAAATAAATAATGCCATAGAGTGTAGTAATAGGAAGGTGCCAGGGTCTGTAATCAACGAGCTGCCTACCTAGGGGTTGGAATGAGTTGGGCTTTTACTCTTTGGTAGCAGAAGCAATTTTACTGTTCGTGACTTCTATCTGAAGTTAGCGGCTTATCTTAGTGTAATTTCTCATTCTAGTATCTTTGCACTGTAGGCTTGAAATGTCGATCGGGCTGTGATAACCCAGTTGTACACAAAACAGTACAGTTTCCTTCTGCCTGAGCTGGCCATATTCAGGCAACTTGTGTATATATTTTGAATTTACTAAAGATAGATGGATGGATTAGGTTACTTAGTGTTATGATGTGTCCCAGCAGTGCTTACATTAAGTATCTCTGTGTAACATGTTTTAAGCTTTAATAGGAAGCCAAATAAAGACTTTTTAGAGCTTTCATTGAAGTAGAAGATAATTAGTATCTGCCTGTCTTGTAACAGTTTTTCTAAGCAGAAGAAAAATTCTTGATTCATAGCACCACTTCCCTTATTTTGTTCTTATCCTTTCTGAAAAAGGACAGAAAACAGAAAGATTCAACACAAAGGACATAAACCAGTTCAAATTTAGGTTTCAGGATAACTGGAGTGGCAGCGTTGTTGCATTATATTGATATTGGAATCCATACTTCTGTCAAACTGCAACTTACTGTGCTGCTCAGTATTGCTAAAATTAAGATTTTCCTTTAAGTGTATATGTGAAATCTAACACTGGCTAAGCAATCTTCACACTGCTGAGTAGATTAATGGAAATATTAATAGGAAAGCCCATTCGATAAACAAATACTCTTCTCTGTAATTAGTAAAGAATAATTTCAAAGGCATTTGTATTGTAATGAGTCTGTAAAAAGTTTTTGACAACAACTTACAGAGCCTGACATCTTTTTAAAGAGCCTTTTTAACAGTAGTAGTAAAAAATCCATAAGTAAATTCCATTCTTCCCTATACTGCAACTGAACTTTCTCCCAAAGGCAGATTGCTTTGAAGTAGAACTGCAGATGCTGCAGCGTTTATCTAGACTTTAGATGTGCATGCTATCAAAGTTAGTTTTATTCCACGCGTGATGGAAATTAAACCAAACTTGAACAATCCAATTTACCTGACTTGTATGCTTGTCTCTTGCTGCGAGTTTAAATATCCCACCAAAGAATTTATTAAGAATTAAGTTTGACATTCAGAGTGCTTCCATTTTGTTCTTAATGGCAAGCTTGTTAGGGATTTAATAATAAACCAGGTTCTTCTGAGAATGCCTAACTTTGAACAGGCTGTCAAGCGATGAGGTCATCATCATCATGAGGAACTACTGCTCTGAAGAGAGGCAGGCAAAACCCTCAGTTCCGGTTTTGCTCGGTTCCCTGATGTGAAACACGTGGCTTTCTCCTCTTCCAGAGACCTGAGACTGAAGAACAAACTGGTTGTGGATTAATAGGAGTTGGCATTAATTTTAATGTCAAGGGAAATGAATTGTCTGCTGGATTTATTTAGCTAAATGGAGTAACATGGTATTTCACTGTTGCTGAAAACACAGCTTGGAAGAGAACAGCAGAGGTCATCTTGTTTTTGTGAGGTGTAACAGGATCAGTTATATCTAAACAGTTCATCAAACATTGATTTGTCCTCTTCTGGAGAGCAAAACACCCCGCCACTCCTAAGGTATTCTGCAACTTCCCAGGGAAGCCTATTTTAGCTTTTAATCCTTGTCTTTAAAAACTTTCTCTAGTGTCTAATTCTAATTTAAATCTTCATGCTGAAGTTTAAACTCACTACCTTTTGTCGTGTTTGTTTTGTACAGGACAATATTTTTTAAACGCATTAAAGGTAGCTGCAATGAGAATCTGTTGTGTTTTCAGGTTTTGCTGTGGAAGGAGGGACAAACTTAATTACAAAATGTACAAGACTGAAGTAATCTTAATTGCCTTTGTTACCTCTGGACTCTCTTTCTTTTGGCTACTGTTTCAAGGAGCACTATACAAAATTGGACAGAGTGCTTCAAGTGGGAACTGTCAGTACCAAGCAGAGCAGAGGATTTCTTCATCATGTTGTAAATTACCTTGCTCATATTGGTCTGATTAACACCCTCCCACCCCTTTTTTCCCTGATAGTGAGGGTGTGTTGTTGTACTTAACAACTTTCAAATTTATCCTTAGATTTTTATTGATGACAGGATAATGGTTGTATCTTTGAAAACACGATCTGCAACTAATATGAGTGAAAAGTTACTGTCTTAAACTTGTCCTGGAAAGTTATTTCTATGAACTAACTATTTTCAACCTGCCTTACTCATAGTTCACAGAAGAAAAACTTGGTCAAGCAGAGAAGACTGAACTGGATGCTCACCTGGAGAACCTTCTCAGCAAAGCAGAATGCACAAAATTGTGGACAGAAAAAATAATGAAACAAACAGAAGTATTATTGCAGCCAAATCCAAGTAAGGAGCTCTTCAAGTTTTTGTTTGCAACTTTTGAATTAATAGCTTCATCAATGTAAATGTTTTCTGCAATAGGTATTGCATAAATTATGACTAAATATAGCAGTTTCA